CAAATAAACCTTATTATTAGTGTCACTTCTGGTAAGAAGTATATTACTTAGTTTTGGCTTGCTTTTCTCGCGTATCGATGAAAGGAAGTGGTGTTATATTAAATCTTCTACGAGACAGGAAGCGGATTCTGCTAGAAATAGTCATCGAGCCTTCTGACCTCTGAGAAGCGTTTTACCTAAGATTACCGGTTTCCGTGACACAAGTAAAGACCGCACATTTTAAAGTCTTTCAGCACTTCGTAGAGAAATGGCTACGGTTAATAAAACTCAGCGAAAATTTCAGCCACCAGATTGGTTTACAAATTCTTTTATGATGTCTGCCAATTCGGTCCGCCAACGGCAGGCGTCACATGATATCAGACAAGAGACGAGAGCACTGCGTTTGTCTGCTGCACTTAGAACAAAATGGGATAATTATTACAACACAACACGATTAGCTGACAGACTAGATACAATCCTTTCGTTCAAAGATATATTGGAGCTTGCAAAATCGAAACTTGATGAAGAAATATCGAAATTGTCTGCCGGAAAAGATGCCCTGGAAAAACAAATCGCCGATATGCAAGTTCCAGAAGACTGCAACGTTGAATGCCTTACTCTTCGAGACCGACGACGCGGAGTAGACTTCAATGAGGATAAACCAGAATATGAATTGAAAGCGGTAAAATAAAAGTCTTTATATTATCTGTAGGAGCAAGAGCTTTTGGCAAAATGCAAGAAAAGATTGCAGCAGAAAGTTGACGAGGCATATGACCAGCTTCTGTTATTACAGGAAGTTCGGCAACAAGTTTTAAAAGATTTACAAGACAAAAATGAAACTATAAACATCGATATTGAACAATACAAACTGGTTCCTAGCTGTCCTGGTGTATCTTACAAAGTCAACCCAACGCGTGTTCCAAAGGGGTAAGTCAAATAAAATTATTACATCCTGGAAATTAAAAAAAACGTACAGCAATTATATGCTTTGTTCGCCTGAATAATTAATCGAACGTTAGATTAATTATAAGTACTTATCTTGCCATATTTGGAAGAAATTGTCTTACATATTTCTGAAATTAGGCCCGATAGATAGGTTGGATATTGGATAGATATCAAAAGATGTCTTCCTTGAGTTTTGGAATATGATTCCCAACTGAAGGAGTTCGTCAATGACGAAAATTTTTGAAGTGAATTTAATTTCAAATTAAAATGTTCGTTTTTAGAGAAAACATATTTATTATAGAATTGATGATGATTTTGACCAGAACTTAGACATAATGTGGAAAACTGGCAAAAAATTGTTTTGTTCTGAAATACAGCATACCGCATAATCTAGTTCACAGGCTGTCTCCTGTTCCAATTGATTCGCATTGCCGTCTCAGAAACAAGTTAATTCCGCGTGCAACAACTCCGTGGACAACCAGCTACACTAAATTCGATTGTTCAGAATCCTTTCGATTGACTTTGATTCTAGTTATTAATCACAATTATTCGTGAATTAACTACCTAAGTGGATCAATTACCAGTAAGTAAATCGGTAATATGCCCATTAAAAGTAGCCAGATGAAAACCCACGTCAATCTTTATAGGTCATATGCCTTTTAGTCAGTCTAAATGAGGTAGATTTGGAAGTTCTTCTTAAATGTACATGTAGTGTCTTTTTGAATTGACTTATATGTTTTTAGTTTATTTTGTCAGCCCTTCTCGTTTACCTGCTGTCCAGGACCCATGATGAATGGACTGGCTTGTTGTTATATAATGGTAATTTGATAAAGTTATGGACACGGTAAGCGTCAATCTCTATACCTACTTCAGTTACGTTAGCATCGGCCACACCAGCCGCCTGTGATTTTAGGTGAAGGACTAGCTTTGTCATTAACGTAGATGATCTAGAACTGAAAATCACGACAAGTTACACGATTACACGTAATGGCCCGTATACACAATTCTTACGGGACAGCTACTCCACAAAAATCATGCCAGGGAGACCACTAGTCTAAAACACAAGGGCATTAACGTCCGAAATAGTTGTTCTTTTCCACCTTAAAGGCCACGAAATATGTGATTCTGATGGAATATGCGACATTGGAAAAATATTGAAAGAGCAATTAAGCAATCTGCGAACTGCTACAGTTAAATTTTTTTCTAAAGCGAACCAGTTTCATCCTGTCTAGGTACAGTAGTCGCCAGGCCCAGACCAAATTAGGCTTAATAAGCGGCGGACGCACTAACCGGAGAGTCCTAGTTCTTGATTAGCACAGTACAGGCAATACATATTACATACGTACTGTATTTTGTGTGGAGCTTGGTTATGTACAAGAAAAGAATGCTGTTTGTCTGTATTTTAGTACTGTATTAAGTGTACAGCTTGGTTATGTACAAGAAAAGAATGCTGTTTGTCTGTATTTTACCAATAACAAAAACAAAAAAATGATTTGCGACACGTTTAAAAAAGCGGTCTATTGTCAGTTGTTTTGAAAACAAAAATGATTTGCGACACGTTTAAAAAAAGCGGTCTAGTGTCAGTT